AATACGTGAGCCAATCGCAGCCCGATAGGTGGGAATTTTACGGACTAAGGCTGTACGAAAGGTTTTCTACTATAAAATTAACCGATTCTAGACTAATTCCACTCAACATTTCCAAAATACGTATAATTTTTTGGGAATAATCTGTATAAACTATGCTATAAACAAAAAATTGTAGGATTACTTACACCGTTCGACTACGCCGTTGCTTAAAGCTGGTTTTCATCGCGGAACAGCACGCGAAACGACGGCCGCAATTTCTGATAACGAATTTTTGGCGGAAAAATAACTTGACCTTTGGAGACATCATTAATATAAATAATTTTTATGGACGTTGAATAAGAAGTGTTTCTTTCACAAGAAATGTATAAAATTAGTGCTGTATTAGACTTACGGTACCTAATTTACATACTGTGCAGACGATAATAAACTCAACTTACTAGCCTAAAATCTCCGTAGCGTGTTGCCAGGCGGCAGAAAGCATATATATAATTATAATAAAGTTACAATAAATTAAGTTAATATATAATTATATATACAGTACCTAATTTATATATAATTAATATATAATTATATGTACAGTACCTAATTTATATATAATTTATATATAATACTAAACAGACGATAGCAAACTCAATTTAGCCGCTCCGTAGCGTGGCGCAGGGTCGGAGGAAAGTAGTTCGGCTGCTCATCCACTATTGGTCCAGACTCTATCAATCTTGTCGCGAAACGACGTTATAGGAGGTACGTTATACGAAAGTTGCTACAATTTTTTCGCTACGTTATAGGAATTGTCGTTATAGGAACGTACGTTATAGGGGGTCGACTATATATTAATGATTTATAATTTCAGTTATTCTAACATTACAATATCGGAATGTGAAAAATATATCAATATATCGCTGAAATAACTGTTCAAAGTAAATTACTTTATTTCTGAATCTGGACTAGTTTGTTTTTATAATAAAATGTTTTGTTTTAATGTGTGATATTATGTGTTATTTGGTATAGAGTTAATGGTATTTCAGCTCAATAAAATGAATTAATAACCTATAATTCTGATATTATTTGCTAAACTAAAACTTCGGGATTCTTAAATTTTCTTTAAAACTTTGGATAAGAAATCTACTTAAGTTTATATAAATATTTTAAAAATAACTAATAAATATTAATTAATAAATAATATATAGGCCTATAATAAATTAATAATTTGAAATAATTGAACAATATAGACATAGAATATATAAATAATTTTATTTACTTGCATCGATACACATCCATGAATAATAAAATATACGAAGAAAAAACATGATTTGATCAAGATTACATTGCAAAGATACTACAGAATTAGATTATTGAAATATTCAATCAAAATAACTTCTAGTCCAATTTTAAAATATTACCTTCAAATCTGTACATCGAAATATTACTTCAAATTTAAATTTAAAAAAATAAAATTTACTTAATATGAAAATAAATATGATAATAATAATAATAATAATAATTCATTTATTAGTCATATTAGGCAAAAGCCTGTTATTACAGGGAGTTATAACATAGAATGGACATTGATCATAGTCACGATTATACATTCCAATGTGTATCAGTTAGTATTACTATATACAATGTCAGGTCAATTCAATTTCATTTATCCTTTTAGGATTGATTACAAAAGGTTTTTATATAATTATATAATTTATAAATCATAGCAATATTTGCACCCTGGAAGAAACAATACATTTGATTTTCTTCTGTGATGAAATTTAATTGTTTCAAATCCATTTTAATTCTTAGATCGTAGCCTGTTTTACATTCGCAGAAAACGTGATATTTTGTAAATAATTCCTGACATCTTGGGCAATTACTTTTGGAAATTTCATATATTCTATTATTAATTAAAATCATATTGCTATTTAATCTTAGTTGAATGAAAAACTTCTTGACTGTAAACGACATATTAGATAGTATATAATTGTTATTGAAAGGGTNGGCCTCCCACGCCCCTTCTTTTGCATATCTGTGTGGCCGCCACGTTGAGGAGATCTAGGCAGAGGTCCTGGATTAGGTTCTATACCAGAAATAAGTAATAGGTATACTATTACCAGCCAAGAAGAATATTTGTTATACTTCCGCTTAAATTGAGGTAATATTTCCCTCCAAAAGTGAATCATTATCACAATATGTTGTATCAACTCTTCTCCTGAGATTATCGCGCCAACACCTTCGACAGTCGAGACACTCCCCTCCATAAATATGATAAGAATAATAATGAATGTCAACAAAAATTCATGACTCGTAGTATTTACTCGTAGTAACGCGAGTCCGATGGTGAAAATTTTTAGGAAAAACTTATAAAAATTTAATGCAATAATAAAATCATAAAAGTTAAAACATTGCACGTGGGTAAAATCCTAAAACATCCCTCACATACAATTAATTAATAGCATTTATAAATAACGATATTGGAATAAATTTATATACAAAAACTTCTAAAAATAAAATTTTAAATTAAAAAAAAATATATATATTCTAAAAATATTCTTTAAAAGTTTTGAAATATTTTGCCAATATGTTTGCGAAAATCTTCAATACAGACTTTTCTGTATTGTCATCATTTTAAAAATGTATTATACAGTATATATATATATATATATTTTTTTTTTTCAGGATATTTCTTAACATCTGATCTTTCATTGAATAAGTAACTACATGTAATCGAAGAATTTCTAAGTATTGAATTCCAGAAAAGTTTCATGAAATAAAATTTTCTTTTCTCATAAAATTGTATTGCTTACTAACAATTGTTTACACTGCATTTTCTTGTAAAATATTTATTCTTTTGTATGTTAACGAGTTTAAAAGTCATTATTAAAATTAATTTTTATTTTATTTAGACGATACCTATTTTTATTTAAATTATAGCAAAGAGTTTTAAAATAATCTAGAAAACAGCAAAATGTTTGCATCTAATATGTTAATACCAAAAAATTAATTGTGTAATCATTAAATTAAAGTATTAATTCTAATTAAAATGCAGTTTAGATAATATTTGTAATGTTCTGGTAGATTATAGGTTTTCATTTTTCGATTGTTCATTTAATCTGCTTCAAATAGTTTTCAGGTTTAATGAATTTATTTTTGTTTTTCTATAAAAGTAAAATCAAATATATATTACAGAAATTTTAAAGTAATCAAAATTCCATTATTATTCAAAATTAATAATTTCACTTATATTAATGAGATTTAAACATTAGGAATAAGCTCATATTATCATTCGGTGCAGCATTCTGTTAACTATTCAAATAATCTCATTTAGAATTTCTAATCTTTAATGCATTTTACGATAATCCTTTATAAGCAATCGAATGCTTAATTAAATATTTTAATAGTAGCAAATATTTATTATGAATTGATTTAATATTAATGTTTAAGCTTACTATTTTTTCGGTTCTTCGAGAGATGCAACATTCCTTCATAGTTGTTTGAACTCATTAATATAGGAATTTTAAAATTTGTTTTTGAAAATAAAGATAAATTTTCTAATATACGAGCAATATTCAATCTTTTCTCATTTTAAAATTATATTCAGCTGCTGATTTTCTTTCCAAAAAGTAGGCATTTGAACTGTTGGCGAAATATATAATTTGTTCCGTATAAAACTGTATAAAATCTCTTGACTCAAAAATTATTTATAAATATATGTATAAATTTATATACCTAAAGGTTTACTTTTTAATACTTACAACTGCATTAAAATCACTGTAATATTATACTTAATTTACGTTACTTTTCAGCACAAAAACATAATTAAAATATAGTTAGAAAAATTAGAATTTCATTTCATAATCGTCTTAAATATAAAAATTTTAATAATTTTAATTTAAAAATAAAGATTTTATTTCTCATTAGTTAAGAATATACAGTACTAAGGAACGTTAAAAAACTTCTTTTAAAATTCTAAACAAATATTCATCAATATTTCCCTTTTGTTTTCTGGAAAATGTATCAAATTTCTTGGATCATTTATTGCAAATATGATAAGATGATAGTCATTAATCAAAAGCGATTTTACAAAGTAATAATTAATATTAAGAACGACAACAAGAAAAATGCTTGGAAGAATTTTATAAAGAACTATATAAAATAAATATACACATATAACCATATACACATATATACAAATACACACATATACACATATATATATATATATAAACATATAAAATAAATATCGCTGAAGATGAAAGTAAAAATATACCACGCAATTAATATAAGAATTTTACACGACTTAAAAGTTTTGAGCAATTTCTTTGATTGTTTCCCAAAAGTAAAATATTTGAGGAAATAAAAATCAAGAATATTAAATATTTTTAGAATATTAAACAATGTAATATACATAAGTAATATACATAAGTTTTATGCCTAATACTTTTAACGTTGATATTGTTTTTAAAACGCTGCACTAAATACCATACTATCATTTTCATTTCTTTGATATAAGATCGAATATTTTGATATATAAATATTTATTTAATTAAAAGTTAATTAATTTTATTCCCTCAATTTTATACAAAACAAAACTTTGATATGTCTTTGACACCGTGAGTAGAAACAACTATCGTGTATTGCAGTAATTACCGATCACGCCAATTTACGATGTTGTATCTATCGGCTTTTATAGATATCATAAAGCTTTTGATATTATGACAATGTTTTCTAATTACTTTATTTACACATTTTTAAATAAAACATGCAAAAAGTATTGGGACATCCTCCTCACAATGCTGAGCTGTAATTTTTAATCATATGTTTAATTTATTTAAAATACAGGGTGTCCCATAAGTCTTTCCCTAATTACAAACATGCAGAAGGCAGAAAATGTGACATATAGACACATATTTTTTATCTTGAATTGCAGGTAACATATTCAAGTTTTGTGTGTACGTACATACTCACTGTTATTACTTTGTTACAGAACAATCACAGCCAATACCTATCTTGATATGTTGCAGTTATTTGTTGTGCCACAAATTCAGGACATTCCGGACTTAATTTTCCAACAAGATGGTGCGCCTCCTTATTGGGGGGGGTTAGATGTTCGTGCCTGTTTGGATACAGCATTTCTGGGAAGATGGATCGCGCGTGGTGGTCTCATCAACTGGCCTCCGCGATCACCGGATATAACACCACTGGATGTCTTCCTTTGGGGTTATGTCAAGGACGAGGTTTACCAAACATTAGTGAACGACATCGCAGCATTATGGCGCAGAATTACTGACGTCATAACATCCATCCCTCACGATATGTTGACCAACACATGGGTGGAATTGGAATATCGCCTGGATATCCTTTTAGCAATGAAAGGAGCACACATCGAAATTTATTAATGAGTATGTATGTACACACAAAAATTTGAATATGTTACCTATAATTCAAGATAAAACATATGTGTCTTATTTTCTGCCTTCTGCATGTTTGTAATCAGGGAAAGACTTCTGGGACACCCTGTATATGCTCTCGAGTTTACTAATGTCATGCCCCTGTACATCATACTTTTCTTCATAACAGTGGAATAATGCCAGTCATCTATCTAATTCCGTTCTCTACGTTATGGAAGGACAAAGAGACAGAAGCCAGTGGGAATTTATAGGTCTGCGATTTTAAAATCGCATCCCAAAGAAATATAAGCATAATGATCAGGAGTCTTTAGACAATGCTCTTCATAATGCTCATAGCAAAACATGAAGTGAGACTAATAATTTTGGGAATTTTTTTATGGGTTTAGGAATTAATTTTCGTATTGTTTAAGTAAATATTAAAATAAATTTTACTTAAATTTTTTCATGTTACAATTACTAAATTCTTTAATCTATGGAAACATTTCTAAAATTTAATAAAAATTACGAATTTCTATAGTTAATTTAAGTAAGTTTACCAGAATATTTTAAACTATAATATCGAATGCCTAAATTATTTTTATTACACAGATGTATTTTATATAATTATAAATAAGAAATTTATATATTTTATAATTTATTTAAATTGTCTGTATTAAGTATTTTCATAATAAACCATAACGTTAATAAAATGTTACATATTTTAGATTAATTCATATATTTTAGTTCATAATCTTTTTAAATTTATGTTCTAATTATTTTTTTTACGAATTTTTCTATGTAGAAATTTCTCATGATTGAAAGGGATGATATTAAATTTCTTTAAACAATTCTAAAGTTTCATTTCTATGAATCAATTTTATATAGCATGATAAATATTTTTTATCATGCCATATAAAATGAAAGATACTTTGTATTGGTGGAATATTATATTATTGTGCTTTATTAAATCTGTGATAGCAATATTAAAACTATAGTTTCGACAAAATAAATATTGAGAAAGTTATACTTTGTATCGTTTCCTATCAATGTTTCAGGATATTATAAAGATTTAAGTTTAGATTTCAATCACAATCTTTTTCTATAGCACGATACAACATAAAAAAAGCAAGAAACAAAAGCAAAATTCAAATTGAAATATCTTAATTGAATCTGAATAAATCTTTGAGAATGACTTATAAATCACGATAGTTATAAAGTATCATTAAATTAATTAACATTAATGTTATTTATAATGGATTTCAGCAGTAGATTTTGACTTAAAGATTTTTATTTTGATGATCAACATAAAAAGTTCCAAGAACAAAAATTGAAATTATGTAAAAATTGAAGTCATTTGCTTAAAATTTTGAAAGTAATTGTGATTTTTGAACATATTTCTAATGTCCAGTGAAAGATTTTTATGTGATAATAAACAGATGTACAGTAGAGCGTCGTTTATCCGAATCAATTGGGGACTGGGGTGGTTCGGATAACTTATTTTTCGGATAACGAACCATGTACGAAAAAATATATTAATTTATCCCATGTTGAAATTTCTCTCTGTTGCGTGTCGCTTCGCGTTGAATTTTCGTCGATGTTAAGCCTAACGAAGACTATTGTATCGTTAAAAATTATTTTTTTATTTTGTACAAACAAACTAAATTTATTGAAAAATATAAAAACAATAAAAAATTATACTTCAGATGTTAATTTAGTATCAAAAACGTAAAATATTTGAGTAGCTCGAGAAATATCCGAAGATTGCAACGCCACAGCACTAGCAAAAATTTAAATTTGCCGACTGGAATGCTTTCGGATAACGGACGTTTCGGATAACCAGCTTTCGGATAAACGACGCTCTACTGTATTTCTATTAATTTTCGTCTCGAGTATTAAATAAATATGTTTGATATTAATATGTAAAACCGATGTAATAATATTAAGCGGTTTCTCAAATAATATCAAAACAAATAACAACACTTGAATTATATTTTCGTTTGTTCAATTGTCCAAGATCTGATAAAATGAGAATGCTGTGTATACTTTTTCATTTAGACTAATTTTCTTCAACAATTGTAAATTTTGTGCCTATCGAATATTTATAGCATAATTTAAAGCATTTATATTTGTTTAATAACTCAGTAAACAAGTTAAATCTACATAACTGAGTCTACCCGACATTCAGAGATGCTGTTCTAAGTATAACAAAAGGGAGATTCCCAGACAAAAGGGGCTATATATATATATATATACTGTACATATATGAGAAAACAAAAGAGTTGCACAGCTTTACCTGGTGACAACATGATTTAAATTTCAACAATATTATATTATTTTAAGCCTCTGTTTTCATCAAGTAGACAGTGCATTCTTATGTTCATCCTTGTATTTTCATCTTAGCAAATCAAACGAATGAAATAAATTAAAGTTCCAAAATTCTGTTTTTCTTCGAATCTAAAAGAAACCGTTTTAAATCGTTAAATGTTTTTATTTTTATCAATAATACCTAATAGAACTCACAAATTTAAATAAAATTTCGAATATATCGATTATTTAATATTCTAGGAAAGACAAGTTTCGATTCCACCCCAGACCATACATCAATTTTCGTCTGGATCTCTGTTTTTCTCACAAAATTTTTATGTATTTTAAGATTTAAACATTGATTGTTATACACTTATATGCTAATTTATCATTGTTTTATAGCGTAAATATAAATTGTTTTATAGCATAAATATAAATTGATCGATGTAAATATTATTTTTAAGTTAATGTTTAATTTAGTTTTATAAATAGAAATTTTTGTTTTTATTGTTTTTGTAACATTCTCTGCACTTATATAAAATATTCGTTATTATTTTATATTTTTAAATATTCTTTTTCATTGAGAATAATAATTTTAAAACGACAAATAATATAATTAATTTAAACATATATATAATAATAATTTAAAAATAAATAAATATATATTTATTTATTTTTAAAGTAGAAAATAAAATAATAAAATAGGTCATAATCTAATTTATAATAATAAAATATTTCTTATATTTACATAAAGTAGAGATTAAAAATAGGACTTTTAGTGGTGGGAACCATTGTTTGTTGGTTATTCTGTGTGCATTTTGGTTTAGGAAGAAAAAAATGGCCGCTGTTTAGAGGTTCCGTTATTGGAGGTTCGATTGTAGGCTACATAAAAACACTAGTTATTTCATTTCACGTCATAAATATTATTCAATTATCATGATGAAAACTTTCTGTTATCAGAAAACGAAGTTTGTCATGTACTCTAAGATTACATACAATATATGACAGACGGCTTAATTCGAGTAGACATGTCATAATCCCAAAGGAATAATAGAACGTCTGTTGACCAATGTCTATGTCATTTTAACTGTCATTCGATAATCGTTACTATAACAAACGTGGATTTTTTTTTATTTCTTATTCTTTTGTATATTCTTTTACTGTAACTAATGAAAATTTTTCACATATGTCAATAGAAAATCCACATAGAAATTTCTTATTGTAAAAAACATATACAGCATTGACTTATCTTTTATTTTTAAGTCTGTGTCATTTTTTAATTTCAATTTTTAGAGATAAGAACATAAAAATCCACGAAAGTATTGTAATCTCTTAATTTTGAATAATTTACACCATTCTTTCAACCTGTTTAGCATGAGAATAAAACTTTTATTTTCAAGAATATTGGAAATGAATGCAAGTGCAATCCCAAACATGTTATGAAGTTAGATTAAAATAGGTCGATAGAAGGGAAAAAACTAAAATTTATGTAAAAAAAAAACATAAGCAAATATAATTTGATAATATAAAATAGTCTTTTATTAATCTTGCAACTCAAAATTTATACACTTCTAATTAAGATAGAAGGTTGAAACTTTGAGTATATGACAATGCATTTTAATGGTGTTTTTAGAGGGTGGTCCATTGCCTCCATCCTCCTCGAAATCAGATAAACGTAACCAAATGAAAAATTTAATCATGATTTGTGTGCGTAAATGAACTGTAGTAATGTATATGGGAGAGATAACTGTACTCCACCATCCCACATTCCTAATCTTGAAATACGTGATCAATAAAAGCGTTTATTAAAATTTTTAAGATATATTAAAATTATTTATTTATTTATTTTAACATTTCTCATACCCATTGTGGATTCAGCCATTCCCACAAAGGTAAGACAAGGTGTTGAGGAACAGAGCCAGACATACCTAGTAAGACCACCCATAAAAACTTTTTCGGTTTTTCAACTTCCGTATACCATCCCGGGTCCCCCCAGAACATTTTTATAGAAAAAGTAGGCTGACTGCTTAACCGTTTCGACGATCCTAAATAACAAATAATGAATAATTAAAAATGTTTATTTACTTAATTTTTAAAATAATTATAAGTGAACAATATCATTTATCTTATCTGTTTTCATTTGTTTTGTGGAATTTTCTATCAATAATAAGATAAACTACCATTAAATCTTCTAATTTATTTATATACTAAATGATTTTAATGATTTTTCTTGGTCATTTTCCATTTCTAGATGATTTCACGACACAAACTATCAAATTTGTTAAATCTGTTAAATCTTTAGAGTCTACTTAAGTGAGGATCCTCTGAATGAGGTATTATCTTTATTGTCTTTTCTGCATTATGACAAAGTTAGTTGTCACGAGAGGCGATCATGCTAGAATTTGATAATTATATCCTTCCGAGAAATCTCTTATAAAATGTAAATTCGATCGTAAATTCGAGGAATTCTTTTATTTTATTTCTTCCAATAAGAATCTATTAATTACTTAAATTTCTTTTGTAACACATCAATTCCAATAACTTTCTTTTTGTTTTATTTTTTAATTGGATCGTTAGAATTCTTATAAAAGAAGAATGACTTCGTTTGTCAAATTTTAGAATTATTAAACTTAAAGGAATTGAAATTTAAATAATAATAGAAAATCATCTTAATTTTTTTTATAATCATTATAATTAAGCAGAGA